GAATTGTCTGAGCAGCCATGGTTTTGGGGTCCTCTTTCGCGTATCGAAGCTACCCAACTTCTCCAAGACACTTCTCCCGGTTCTTTTATTGTACGCGACAGTGAAAGAGATGTTTCCCGTTTCACGTTAACTTTCCGATGTTCGAATGGAAGCATTCTTAACAATCGCATAGCGGAACAAGGGAATGTTTATGCCTTCCTCGAGGTATTTTGCTATGCTCTTCTTTCAATTCATCCTTCGAAATTCCATATTTTTCCTTAAAATTGTATAGTCGTGCTCTCTTGCTCTTTCAATTTCTTGAACGGTGTCTTACTATTCCAAGCCTTCTCACTCCCTTTTATGCAACGATAATTTTATTTCATTCAGGGTGAGGCATTTTCATCTGTCAGCGCTTTGATAGAAAATGCAATGAATTTCTCCAAAAAGGGGGCCTACTGCCTTTCCCGACCTACGGACTCTGTTAAGTATTCACCCGAGGAACCAAAGCCAGTTCCTCACGAGGATTCGGAAAAGAGTGAAGACGCTGGTGATGGTGCTTCGGATTTACCTAGCGATACTAACAAAGTGCGCCTTCTCTTTCCGCTTAGTCGACACCAGCTAAGTCCAACGCTTCAGTTCCTCTGCCGATTTGCCATTCAAAAATATATTCGTTCCGGTGTACTGGAGCCAACACGTCTTCTAGACACTTAACGTTAAGCTATACCTCATAAATTAATGTACAAACACTCCTGTTAGGAGCGTAGTCTGGGATAGAACGGTGTCCATGTCTATCTGTCTCGCTACTTTGTTTTTTTAAACGAAACATTTCTTCTTCTATTACTTGCATTGTTTTATAATTTCCTTTGTTGTTTTACTTTTTTTGTCATTTCTCATTATCTCGAAAAATAAAACTACTATATACCCCCCAATGGCTTTTGACCTGTTTCAACTATTTTAGCAAAAAATGTATTAATTTTCGACTGGTAATGACTTTGTTTCATTTCAGTATTCGTTAAAACAGAAAAGGGAAAAAGGTATGTAAAAAG